ACCCCTCCCCGGGCGGACCCCTCCCCGGCGGACCCTGGGGTCTGGCCTGGACCCGGTGTGTGGTTGGCCGGGGTGGGGCCGGGCCTCCTCCTCTGCCTGCTCCGCAGGGCCTCAGTTTCCCTGCCTACGGGTGGGAGCGCCGCTCTGACCCCAGGGCCTGTGCGCCTGGGGGATCAGGGCTGCCAGGGTCACTGACGTGCAGGGGGGCGCCCCGGGGGTGAGCCCACACACAACGCGTCTCATTGCCCGTGAGCCGGGAGCGCCGTGCAGACGACACATTCGCGGGGAGAGCTCCCCACGGCGGCGGGTAGCAGAGACAGAAGCAGCTGGAAGAAGAGGAGACAGGGCCAGAGCGGGGAAGCTGGGGATGGACAGCGTGGAGCCCTGGCCAGGACTGAGGGGGGTGGACAGCGTGGAGCCCTGGCCAGGACAGGCCCCAGCCAGCCTCCTCCGACTTGTGGAGGAATCGGTGTCCTGAGCTGGGTGTTGGGAAGGCAGTGTCCCCGTCCCCGGAGCCCCGAGCCGGGCACTGACTCAGGACATCCTAGACCACTCCACCCGAGGGGCTTCGGTCCTCTTCCTGCCTCCACCCGTGGAGTCCCCTCTGCCTCTTTGCATGCCTGGAGGCCTCTCCATGGACCCTAGACCGCTCCACAGCCAGGGCTCTGGGGCTGGTCCCCACCCCCAAGGGGGTCCATAGGTTACCTGAACCCAGGCATCTCATACTGCCGGCCACATCTTCAAGAGATCCCTGACACTACCTCAAAAGAAGCCCCGCCCTCACCCCATGTCAGCTGATGGGGACGGAGCTCTTCTGTGGGCTGCTCAGTTGCCACAGGCCTCCAGTTCAACTTCCTGAGAAGTCAGGGAGCCAGCTGAACCTGGAGGGGTGTCAGCATAGAAGCCACACCCTGGACCCCCCCACCCCGCATCTGGGTCCTAGAAGGCCAAAGGTGCCAAGTGGCCCTGACAAGAGCAGCCTGGGCTCCCATCAGCCCTGCGGGACTTTTGAAAAGCAGCTGAACATTGAGGTTTTCCAGACTGGCCGGTGGAGGCAGCATCGCGGTGGTGTCCAGCAGGCTGCACACAGAGGCCCCAGGGGTAGGAGGACCAGAGGCCGATGGCAAGCCTCGGGTCTACAGGGCGATGGTGGCAGCCTGGCCTAGAACTGTACTACAGAAAAGTTTAATGCCTCTAGCTACCTGGACTTAGCTTGTTGGGCTGTGGACATCTGGAGCAGCTAAGCTGGCCAGGAGCCTGTTCCTTGCTTACCTCCCAGCTAGTCAAAAGCTCTGGAATCAGGAGCCTGGGAGAAGCACGGTGGGGGGTCTCACCGGGCAGGAGCCAGGCCAGGGCAGGCAGGAGGGGCTGGAACCGGTCAGAGTGAGACTTCCCACCTAGAGGCTCAGGTCCTGGGTGTGGACCCTGGAAGGTGCTGTGGGGTGGTCATGGAGAAGGTCCAGTAAGTGGAGAGAAATGGGCACAGAGATGCCCTGCCTCCGGCTTGGGGAGGGAGCAAGCTGTGGAGACGTCTCTGCCTATCTGTGAGGGGTGCTGTCCAGGGGACAGTCTCCCTCCAGGACCTCCTTGGTGCCGGGTCCTCTGGTAGACCGGCGCGGTTCCCCTGCCAGGGCTGCCTTGTTCAAGGCAGCAGGTAGGTGGCATGGCTTGGCCCTGGAGCACCATGCTGGCTGTCCCTGCGGTCACCTTCGAGTCCCACTCGAGCCACATGGGAAAGGCTCTGGGGGCTCCCAGAAGGCTGGAGTCCTTCCTGAGGCAAGCCACTCAGAGAGAAGGGCAAGATGGGCACCCAGCCACTGCAGATACACACAGAGCCCTGCTCCGTCCCGGAAGCCGGAGCTCCAGCAGCACCTTGCTACCCCGCTGCAGCTGTGCGGGACAGGCCCACCGTGCCCCCGCTGACACTCACAGTGAAGGTTCAGAGAGCTCTCGTTTGCCACCCACAGACGGGGAGAAGCTGCCCAGTGTGACGGACGGCCACGGGGCCCAGGCCCTGCCCACCACGCAGAGGGCGGACGACTCCAGTGAGAGTCGAGAGGAGGAGCAGGCGGTAAGCAGGGAGGGGTGGAAGAAATGGCACGGACGCCGGACATGGTGCCGCCGCACCCTGGCCTGGCATTGCATATCCGGGCAGACACAGGTGGTGTGGGCTGTGTCCTGGAGGACGCGTGCGGAGGGTGCTCGGCCTGAGACAGACTGTGAAGTTGTCTTGCTGTGTCTGCCTGCACTTGTGTGTGGCGGGGACCCTACTTACCCTTGCTGCCCTTCCTCTCCTGAAGTCCGAGGGGCGGGACCCAAACATGCTATTTCCTGGAGGGGCAGGGAGGCCCCCACCACTGAACCTCACACATCAGACACCCCCATGGCGGGAGGAGGTGAGCTCTGCCCCCTGGATGGGCTGGCAGGGGGAAGGGGAGGAGGGGGAGGGGTAAAGCCTCCCTGGATGGGCGGGGGGGGGCGGGGGAGGTAAAGCCTCCCTGGC